CAGGGGGTAGTGATCATATCATTTGTAACCCAAAATTTTTCACCCACAAATCAAACATATCATCCATTTCTTTTTGCATGCCGAACATGAATATAGCACCAGCCACACATATAGGAACTATTCAACTTAATAAACACCTAACCCCTTTTGAATTGTCAATTCAACCTCATTTTTGTGTCCAAAATTTGCACTCATAATCAATGTATTCTAAAGTTCCTTTCTAATACATGTGAATTTTAGGATTTTTCGACTGGGACACTGATGGGCTTAGGTAGAGTAACTAGTAGCCTATATTACTGGATCCCTTATGGTTTTTCTAGTGAATTTCTCCATTGTATCACAAATAATAAAATTGTTCAATGTGATACAAATACCAATAAAAATTCCTTTATTCTCCATCAAAGACTAGGTCACAGTGCCTCAATTCCACAACCAAAATGCCCAATATGCCCTATAGCTAAACAATCTCGTATCACCTTTCCCCATAGCATATCTACTACCACACAACCATTTGTCCTCATCCATATTGATATATGGGGTCCATATCACAATCAAATTCATGATGGGTCTAGGTTTTTCCTCACTATTGTTGATGACTACTCCCAAGGCACATGAGTATTTCTAATGCAGTAAAAAACACAAACTCTCACTCACATTAGTAATTTTATATCCATGGTAACCAGCCAATTCAAGTCATCAGTTTAATCAGTCCGAACTAATAATGGTCGGGAATTTTTTAGTCATTAGTGCTTGTCCCTTGGCATTCTATATGAATGCTCGTGCACTTATACTGCTCAGCAGAATGGGGTAGTAGAAAGAAAACACAAACACCTATCAGAAGTGGCCAGAGCCCTAAAACACCAAGCCAACATTCCTGTTAAATTTTGGGGAGAATATGTGATCACTGCCACATACCTGATTAATTGCACGCCCACTCATGTCCTTGATGGAAAAAGTCCATACGAAGTATTGTTTGGCAAAACACCTAAGAATAGTTATCTCTAGGTATTTTGTTGTCTTTGTTATTCTGCAATTGTTGGGGCTTATGAAAAATTCGAACCTTGGGCCACTCGGTGCATCTTCATGGGATATCGAATATTACAAAAGGGATATCGTCTCTATGATCCCACAACAAACAAATTTCTTATATCTAGAGATGTCATCTTTCATGAAGATAGATTTCCATTTATTACAAATGATAACGCTCCAAGCTCACCCACAAAGTCACCCATGTTTCTTGTAGATGAAATTCCAATAGGTCCCCAGTTTACATTACTCTTTGCCACTGCCACCAATCTACCATCACAAGAAACTACACCACAACAACACTTTACTCCCACATCTCCACAAACAATTACCTCACTATAATATTACATACCCTCTGCAATACAACCAAAATCTTCTATCCCACCTCTTGTTCATCCTTAAAGGCAGTCAACTCATTCTACTCAACCACTTATCTGGACATCCAATTATGTTTGCCCAACCATATTGAATTCGTCGAGTACACCCTATCCATCCTCCAATTATGTCAATTATGATTGTTTTTCTCCCACACATAAAGCTTGCATCCATCAAATTTCAGTCAACTGTGAACCCTCAAGCTATTCAGAAGCTAAACAACATATTTAGTGGCAAAAGGCAATTGCAGACGAACTGAATGCCCCGACTCTTAATAACATATGGGATCTAGTACCTCGCCCTTATCACAGAAAACCCATTGGCTATAAGTGGATGTACAAAATCCAAATTTGTTCAGATGGTCCCATCGAATGATACAAAGCTCGACTAGTTGTAAAGGGTTTCACTCAACGGGAAGGTTTTGATTACCAAGAAACATTCTCACCTATTGCCAAACATGTTATTATGAGGGCATTTCTATCTATAACCTATGCTCGAGACTTGTCTCTACACCAAATGGATGTTCACAATGTTTTTCTTCATGGTGATCTACATGAAGTGATATATATGGACCTTTCGCCTAGACTTCTCAAATAGAAGGAGAAAACAATATGTCATCTGCGCAAGTCTCTCTATGGTCTAAAACAAACATCTCAACAGTGGATGAGAAGTTCACAAAGGCTTTTACAAAATATTGGTTTTGTACAATCCAAGCATGACTATGCGTTTTTCTCTTGGCGCAAAGGTGAATCTTTCATTGCACTCATCATTTATGCCAATGATATTTTAATCATAGGAAATGAAGAAGAAGGAATTAAAAGTTTGAAAGTACATCTCAATAGGCATTTCAAATAAAAGATCTTGGAAAGCCAAAATACTTTCTAGGAATTGAAATTGCCAGATCTCCAGCAGGCATTTCCCTAAGCCAACGAAAGTATGTTCCCGGACTTATATCAGACTCTGGGTTAGCAACGTGTAAACCAAGTGTTATTCTAGTCAAGCAGAATATCAAGCTTACTACTCAAGAGTACGTTAAAGGGATGTCATCCTCAGAAATAAATCCAACACTACAAGATCCCTCACACTATCAGAGACTTGTTGGGCGACTAATTTACCTTACATGACACGTCTTGACATCAACTATGCGGTCCAAATTCTTAGTCAATTCATGCATAGGCCAAAATAATCACAAATGGATGCAGCAATGAATTTACTCAAGTTCTTGAAAGGATTTCCTGGCTTAGGACTTCTTTTGCCTCAGGATGGAAACTTAAATATCATAGTACACTGTGACTTGGATTGGGCAACATGTCCCATGACAAGAAAATCTCTTATCAGGTTCTGTATAAAACTTGGAGGTGCATTAATCTCCTAGAAGACAAAGAAACAATCGATGGTATCTCTTTCATTAGTAGAGGTTGAATACACAGCAATGTCCAAAACAACATGTGAGATCACTTGGATCCTTGGGTTACTGGGAGATTAGGAGGTACATATCAAAACACTTGCTCACTTATACTGCGATAACAAAGCTGCAAACAATATTGCAGAAAATCCAGTGTTCCATGAGAGAACAAAGCACATCAAGATCAATTGTCATTTCTTCAAAGGAAAAATTCAAGAAGGTGTAATCAAGACTCTATATATCTGCACTTTAAAACAACCAGCAGATGTCTTCACAAAACCACTGTGTAGTAGATAACACTCTTATCTTCTTCACTAGCTTGGAGTTTATGGCATTTACAAACCACAAGCTTGAGGAGGAGTGATGGAATGTGATAATTGCAAAGTGCTATGATCCAAGATTGATTGTAGGTCGCCATTATTCATGGCTTGATTCAAGTGATTACAGTTTATTATTATTCCTGATTTCATGTAGTTACATTGATTGTATTACCATTTCTTTCACTTTTAGACTTGTATAAATTGGACACAATACAATACTGAAAGATACACTATGAAATACAAAAGGATTCAATTGAATCAATTTCTTCTCTCTTCTTTAGGCATACTCCTGGCAACATATTGCCTCTCTTTGTCTCTCTTTCTCTCTAATCAGTTTCTTACAATATCTAACATTAAAATTACTCAAATTTGATGGATAGACAATGTCAAAAATTTATTTGATGTTAGAGAAATGGAAGTTCTAGGAATGAATTGCCTTGACATACTTCGTCTGGGATCCAATTGTGCAGTAGAATCGTGCTTAATATTTTTTTAGTGAAATTTAAATTAAAGCTAAGAAATACTATTCTTATAACCGAAAAAAAAAAAAAAATTCCTTAGAGGGAAGTTTCCACGTATGAATGAATAAAGGAAGAATAAATTTTAGTCCATTTGTTTACTTTGATATTTTGTCCATATATATCTCCTCTAAATTATGTTTAATTTTCTATATATAAATTAAAAGTCATATGTTAATGACTTTGTCTAATATAGTTGTTGTTACCAAATGTTCAATTGTTTTATATTACAAGTCTATTAGATTTACTGTTACAAGTCATATGTAATTGAATTGTTTTTACTAAGCCTTAGATTCTTCATTACATGTTTTGTTTTTTAACTCGTGTTTTATATATGCTTGACTGTTCGTTATAAGTCTATTACATTTGATTTTTACAAGTCTATTCTTCCAAATTTTATATCATTGATTGTACATGCATAAGGCTTGTTTTTACCGATTCTTGATGTACAAGTTTTATTACTTATAAGTGTCCAGTATTATTCAACTACAAGTAAAATAAAATAAGTATAGTTAAGTAATTCATCCAATTACGGTGGATAAGAGTTAGAATATCGTTTCCCACACCTTCATCAGCCGGCCCTATTCCAAGTTTAATGACTTTTTTTTCCTAGAAATTTTTGTTATTGATTTTTATTATGTAGTACTTGTAATTAATTTCAGTTTGTGAAACTATGTTATTTATTAATCTTATTGTTGATGCAATGATTTGTACCAACAAAGAGTATGTAGATTTAATGATGAAACCAACGTAAAAGATTTGTATGAAATCTGCGATGTGATGCTAGATCAGTGAATGAATAAAAAACATAAGCAACAAGATATTTTTAAAGTAATTCGGATATTAGGCGTAAATCCTATACCCACTATTTTTGAATTTCTTTCTGTGTTTGCTTTTATTTTTAATGTACAAATGTGGTTAGCATAAAAAGAGATCCCCTAATTTGGATGAAAAGTAAGTTTATATATTGTTATAATGACAAACTTATAAATAAAATTAACCTTAAATCAAATGACACATGTCGTAAATCTGTGCTGATTGACCGTACTTTAAAAATCTCCTGTTGCTGTGTTTTTGATTCATTTATTGATTTAGCATTGCATCGTAGATTTCGTACAAATCTTTTTATGGTGGTTTCATCACGGAATCAATGTACTCAACGTTAGTGCAAATCACTGCATCAACACTTACTAAACTGAATTAGTAGACAATTCATTAATCAAACACAAATGCCCTAAAACAAATAAAATAAAGAAAAACAAATTTGCGTGCTGCGTTTTTCTATAAATAGCATGCAGTACCGAGTGTATCCTCACAAATATTTGAGCAAGAAAAAGCAAAACGAAAATAAGATTGATGGCTAGCTGGAAGAAGCTTAGTGGTGAGAAAAATTGGCAGGGTCTCTTGAAACCTCTCAACAGTGATCTTAGGCGATATAAAACTCATGGTGAAAGAGTTCAAGCTGTTTATGACTCGGTTAACCCTGAAGATGAAACATGTCCTGCTTATCAAAAGGAAGATTTATTTTCTAAAGTTGTCATGGAAACAGACAAATTTGGCAAATTATACACGGTGACCGACTATTTTTATGCAATGTCAGATGTTGCTCCCTTGTTCGATAGTATTGTAAGGACCAATCTGCTTGGTTTGGTTATGTGGCTGTGGCCACAGATGAAGGAAAAAGAGTTTTAGGAAGGAGAGAAATTTTGATTTGTTGGAGGAGAACTTTCTCTGTCCGAGTGGTTCAAAAATGCTCAATTCGATCAAACATCAGCTTCAAACATATTTGGGAACACCCATGATCCACAAGTGCACAGAGGATTCTCTCAATCTACACGTCGCCAAATACCGAACCCTCACCAATAAATTGAGTGCCCGAGACCCGTAAAAACACACAAAAAAAAAAAAAAAAAATGATTACTGGTTTCTATATTTTCTATTTTCTTGATATATGTTTCTATTATGGCTATGTTTATGTAGGTGCTGAATGCAGTTAAGATACTGGTGAATAAGTTTGAGTACAGAAACGAGGAAATCAGTATAACAGTAGTAGGTCATAGTCTGGGTGCGGCGCTTGCAACGTTAAACGCAACTGACATAGTTGCCAATAAATTTAATAAGCGCGCAAGATCGAACAAAATATGCATGGTCACAGCCTTTGTGTTTGCAAGCCCGAAGGTAGGAAACGAAGGATTCAGGAATATATTCAATGGACTCAGCAATCTTCATCTCTTGCGCATTGAAAACAGATTAGACATTGTCACTGATCTTCCTCCTTCCGAAATTTCATACAGAAAAGTGGGAATGAAGTTAAGAATTAAGAGTCACAAGTCAGCATTATTGAATTTAACGGACGGGCTTCAACTTCATGACATAATACCTCAGTCGCATAATATGAAGGAGTATCTCCAAGGAGTTACAAATAAATCCGTAAAGTCCTCACTTGGCAATAGGGCCATAGCCAGGAAATCACAGTTGGGGCAGCCAAGGAGTAAACTTTATTTAATGAGGGGTCTGAAACATAAAAAATAAGTGACAGTCATGTTGGTGCTAATTTTCCTTTTCTGTTTTACCAAAGCTTTGTTTACAGTGTTGTGTTGTTGGTTTTATTTGGGACTAGTTCATTGGTGTTATCTTTGTTTCCCAAGTCTCTTATCATTTGTCTGTTGAGTGGTTTTAATGTACCGTGTGTGGTTCATTATATTAATAAAGATGTTTACAGTTAAAATTACAGATATATGTTTTTTGAATCCAAGATTTTTCTGAGGTGAGGTTTTCCTCTTTCTTTTCTATTCTTTTTATTTTTTCAATGAAATTACCGGGATTACCCAAAAAAAGAAAAAAAAAATTAATAACTTTTAAGAGTGAAACAATGAAAGAAAAAGAAAATGGAACTGAATTGCACTGAAATTTATAGCAGTTATACCTTGGCTACACGGAAGCTGACCTAATCTTCAATCCCTTTGACTTCAACAACAGAGCACATGTAGTTTATAAGCAAGAAATTTGATATCATAAATTTCAATATATATATACGACTTTCTTACTTAAATTTTGTGAGGCCCATGTTGAAACACTATTAGATTCATCATCATTGGACTGAAACATGAATCTTACTAGAGTATATATATATATATATTTCTTGATTAAAAGGAGCTAAATTTTTGGCATTAAGTAAACAAATTTGTAATTTTGTTGATTAGTGTAAGAGGCTTGGATTTTAGTTCAAGGGTTGAACCCAATGGCATAACCATGCTAGCAAAGGACAAGAGAGGGAGGCAATTCTCTAAAAATCAATCGTGAAATAATATAGTTTCTTTTATCGAACAATTTTATTAAACTTTTATATTAATTTCTCATCCTGAAACACCCAGTTTTCTATACAACAACTCTTATCTTCTTTGGTTAAACTTCGAGCCACCATAACAAGCTTCACACACGAGACCACTAAGTCGCACTTAAACTCCTCTCAAATTTTAACAGTGAAAAATCAACTTTGGAACAATAATGGTAAAGGAGAAGCAAGGAAAAAAAAAAAAAAAGAACAAAAGAACAAAAGTTGAAAAAAATTATTACAACACCTTTGGGTTTGAAGTCCAGGATAGAGAAATTGATCCTTAAATTTCAATTTGCTTTTCTTTCCTTTTTTCTACTTTCTATATCTTTTTTTAATTTAGATATAAACGAGTTTCTCTATTTTTTTTTTTCCATTTATTTTATTTTAAAATTTTTAAAGTTTTATAATTCAACCCTTTTTTAATTCTATTTTACTAGTTTTTTCAATTTTTTTACGATTTTATAAATTTAGAATTCAAAATCTATAAGTAAATAATTGTTGAACTAACCTACCACGATTATACATTTCTTTTTATGCAATATAACAATCCTATTCTTATGCATTAAATGTCAATGTCCTAAATAAACTTAAAAAATAATAATAATAAATAACATTATAATAAAACCATATAATTAATTAAAATATGTAATAATTAACAAAACAATTTGTTAATTATGTAAGTGAAAGCTGCAATGACAAGAAGTATAAGAATGGAGAAACGAATTCTTAATTTCCAATTCTTAATGTTCTCATTATTAAACAATTTGTCCCTTTCTAATAATGAGAATATTTTATTCGAGTCTGAAAGATGCCATCCAAAGTAAAATGCCCAAAATGTTCACGTCTACAAATTTCAAACAAAATCGGGAAGGGCTGAAATAGGTATTTCATAGAAGAAAAAAAAATATAATTACATTAGAATCTCAATTTTTTATATAAATTTTGGGTTTGCGGTGCGTCCGCCACTGGCTGAACATGCTGCAAAGGTTGATCACCCACCCCCAAGTAAAATACTCAACTAACACATTGTATATTCAATTTTCCATTTGAATGTCTCACTGTGAATGTTATAAAATTGATACAGTCAAATACCAATTTTAGCTTAAAATAAAGGCAATGTAAAATCACCATAAGATCAAATTAACTGTCTTGACAAATAAGAAAAAAATTTAAGTGAGAATTTAATCGAAGACAAGATATATGTGATTCACCCAATTGGTTCACGTCCATGGAAAATGTATGAAAAATGTTTCACTAAGAATGAAAAGTAGTACAAGCTTAAAAATCACTCAACTCTTGATTTCAAAGGCTCTCTCGCTCTCAATCAATGGAGGCTATCGTTGAGTTTTTACTTGTGTTGGCTCTCTCTTGAGGATGAGTTTATTGTGCCACAATTCTCACTCATTTACAATGCACTAATCACTCTATTATTAGATTCTTTGAAGGATAAAAATTACATTTATATAGTAATTTTTTTTATAACCTAGGTAATCGAGCCAACATCACGCACCTCCTTGACCACCAGACTAACTTCTTAGGATTTAATGAATCCTAATAAGTTATAGCAAACATGCACTTGACGCAAATTCTTAAATGTTTTTTTCCATCAATTCTACACAACCCTGTAACTCCATTTTGGCAACATTTTTCAATTTCCATCAAGTGGCATATGAGTCACAGGTCACAAATGAGACAAGATAACTTCCACATGAATTTATTAAATATAAAATTTTATAAAACCAGAATTATTCATGACAAAATTACTGTAAATCTAAACCCAGAAAGTCGACCAATTCATTATTATATTTTTAATAGTTAGACTTTCCAAGAGCTTATGGGCGCTTATAAAACATATAATAAACATCAAAATGGATCGTGAAACAATATAGTTTCCTTTCTCAAAAAGTTTTTTATTAAAATTTTATATTAATACATATATTTTATCACAAAATTTTGAACGTTAACAAGAATGAAACACAATTCAAATAAGAAAAACACGAATACAACAATACACATGAAGTTTTTTTTTTTTTTTATTAAAAAAAAAAACCTAGTATGATAATAATGGTAAAAGAGAGTTGAATAAAAATTATTACAACACCTTTGGTTTTGAAGTCTAGGGAAGAGAAATTGAATAAATTTCTAGTTTCTTTTTTCATATATATATATATATATATATAAACGAGTTTCTCTATTTTTATTTTTATTTTTCCATTTTTTTAATTTAATTTTATTTGATTTTAAAAATTTTATGTTTTTATAATTCAACCATTTTTTTAGTTCTATTATACTAGTTTTTTTTCAATTTTTTATGATTTTATAAATTTAGAATTAAAAAACTATTAGTAAATAACTGTTAAATTAACTTACCACTATTTTATACAATTAAATATCGATAAATTAATATTTTTGAGATCATGAAAATTTATTAATTAATCGATATAAATTAATAAATTATTAATTGAATGTTATGTAAGTGAAAGCAACAATGACAAGAAGTATAAGAATGGAGAAACGAATTCTTATTTCCAATTGCATACATTAATTGATTAAACAATTTGTCCCTTTCTAATAATGAGAAAATTTTATTTAAAGTTGAAAGATGCCATTCAAAGAGAAATGCCCAAAATGTTCACGTCTGTAAATTTCAAACAAAATCGGGAAGGGCCGAAACAAGCATTTCGCAGGAAACAAAAATATAGGATTATATTAGAATCTCATTTTTTTTTTTATTATATAAATTTTGGATTTGCGTCCGCCACCACCCCCAAGTAAAATACTCAACCATTCCCATTCAATGATATTAACACATTGTATATTCGATTTTCCACTTGAATGATGTTATAAAATTGATATAGTCAAATACCAACTTTAACTTAAAATAAATGCAATGGAAAAACATCAAATGATCAAATTAATTGTCTTGATAAATAAGAGAAAAATTTACGTGAGAATTTAATCAAACACAAAATATATGTGATTCACCCAGTTGGATAATATCCAACGGAGAAGGTATAAAGAGTGTTTCACTATGAATGAAAAGTATTACAAGCTTAAAAATCACTCAACTCTTTGATTACAAAGGCTCTATCACCCTCAATCAATGGAGTTTTTACTTATATTGGCTCTCTCTTGAGAATGCCACAATTCCCACTCACTTGGCATACACTAATCACTCTATTGTTACTTTCTTTGAAGGATAAAAATTAGATTTATGTAGTGATGGGAAGTTCCACTATTTTCCTTGATAATATGACTTCAATTTGAGTCGAAATAATAAAATTGAGGTAAAAACATTACTTTGTAAAGTAATGTTTGGCACAATAAACTTCGACTCACCACGGTAAACTTAAAACCATTACCACGAACTAGAATTCGTTATAACAATGTAACTTCTAGAATTTGATAGCGAAAATCTTTTTCTACAACGAATATGTAGCAAACTTTATTCGCTATAATGATTCTTATCTCGCTATAGCAAATATGCACTTGACGGAAATTCTAAACTTTTCATTCCACCAACTCTGCAGCAACTCCACAAAATCGACCAATTCATTATTATATTTTTAATAGTTAGACTTTTCAATAGCTTATGGGCGCTCATAAACCATGTAATAAACATCAAAATGCATTGACCTACTTGCCTTGGATGCTTAAAACTTGGCGTGGGTATTGATATACTATCGCTTGCTTCCCGTCCGAGAGAGAGATTTACTGCTAAGGAAACACAGGTACGGTTCAGTCAAGTCCAGAATTGGCATATCTAGAACTTTTGAATAAAATTGTGAGCTTCCTATCAATTTCTGATACTCTGTTCTTACCAAACGCATATGTATTTAAATCTGCAAGAGATCATATCAAACGCATATGTTTTATTTTTTATTTTTTATTTTTTTATTTTTGACTCTTTCCTTTGTTCTTTTCAAGACTTTGCCATTCAGATCTAATTATATATCATATCTTTTTAAATCTTCCTTACATCTCACACAGTAGTAATATTGATCTGTCAATCGGTTAGCAAAAGTAAGTTTTCAACTTCTATATTAATCGTCAATTTTTTTTCATATCATTTATCACTTGATATATAGTATTACTCTTCCTATATATATATTTGTTGGTTATAAATAAACGCTACACACTTCAATGTTTTGTTTTCAGAGATGCCCACTACAAAAGATTAAAAAAGAGTGACTAT